AGAGCTGGAATTTGAACCTGGGTCTTTTATTTCTAAATCCAATATTCTTTCCACTGCACTATACTGCCCCTTCACTAGTATTTTATTTATGGTGTGTGTATATTGCATATACATATGTACTTACATATATACATACATGCATATGTGTATATGCATACATACATATATGCTTGTACACACACATATGCACATATATCAGATAAATTGTGGGCTATTTCCAAGAAAGAGTAACACTACCCAAATTTCACTAGTCTTTTAAATGTGATAAGTTTAAAGGTGAGATACATCTTTTTTTTTCCTGAGGGCAATTGGGGTTAAGTGACTTGCCCAGGGTCACACAGCTAGTAAGTGTTATGTGTCTGAGACCAGATTTGAACTCAGGTCTTCCTGACTCCAGGGCCAGTGCTCTATCCACTGAGCCACCTAGCTGCCCCCGAGATACATCTTTTAAGAAACACTCAACTGTGATTTTCTAGGATAAAAAAAAATAACCTTTTACAAATGTATTTTGGAGGGAATGTGTGCTTTTAGTGAAGTTTCTGAGTCTACAGAATCACAGCAGGACTTCACAAATGATAAATTTAATGCTATATTGGTGATCCTGAATGCACTCAAAAGAACATAGATTTTTCTTTTCTGACTCCTTTTTTTAATTTGTACATTAAGTTCTTTTCTTAAACCAGAAAATTGGGGGTTTGGAACAGAGGAAGGAGTGAATGGAGCTGGGAAAAATATAGCATAAAGTTTGAGTGCTTTAAAAATGGCAAAAATTACAAACTGAGTGAAAAATGCAAGATTATACTTGATGCATTAAGCCTTTTAAAAGAAATACGTTATGGATTTTCATTTTCGTAACAATAACCTGTCACTCCATGCTCTGTCCAGGGCCCTCTTCTCTGTTCTCCCTATGCTCTTCCTCTTGGTGATCTCAATAGTTCTCTTAGATTTGATTATCTTCTTTATACAGTGGACCCCCAATGCACAAATCAAGTGATAATCTCTCTCCTGAGCTTCAGTTCTACATCACTGATGACCTGCTTATTGATTATCTGGTAGACATCTTCACCTGGATACCCTATAGACACCCAAACCTCAACATGTTTAAAATGGAGCTCATTATCTTCTCTAATTCACATACTCCCCTCCCCCCACCCCATTTCCAAGCTTCCCTAGTTTTATTGAGAGCACCATGATCCCAGTCTTTCAGGTTTGCAACTTTAGGGTCATCCCTGATTCTTCTCTCTCCCTCCCTCTATATTCAATCAATGGAAAGTCTTAATAACTCCTTTGTTCAGAACAGTTCTCTTCTATATGTCCTTTCCATTCATACAGTCATCACTTAGCCCCAGATCAAGATTCCTTTATCTCTTGCCTGGACTATATTAAGAGTCCCCTAATCAGTGCTCTTGCTCAAAACTTGTCCCTTCTCTCTTATTCTCCACAAGGGTCAAAATAACCTTCACAAAGCACAGATGTGACTGTATGACTTTCTTGTTCAAGAATATTCTAGTCTTACAGCCCCACCCATTCTTCCCCATTGCCTCTAGGACAAAATACAAACTCTTCACAACATTTCTCCAACCTACCTTTCGTTGACCTTCCTGCACTTCATCACGTATCCAACCTGACTTAGCTGCTGTTCCCTGAACGTGGCATTTCATCTCCTATCTATTGTCTTTGTACAAGCACTCATTGCCCTCTCTTATCTCCCCTGACTCTTAGCATCCTTCAAGCTTCCTTTACCTGCCACCTCCCACCAAAGCCTTTCATGAGGGTGCCCCCTCCCCACGGGTCAGTGCTCTTTCTCATCTTTAACTACCTTGTATTTATTTGTGTTGGTGCTGCCCCTCAGTAGAATGTAAGCTTGTTAGAGGCAGGGACTTTCATTTTTAACATATTTCCAGAACCTGGCATGGTGTTTGCATGTGGTCAGAACTTAATCAATGTCTGTATTATTGTGTCTGTTGCAACTGCCCTATACTGTACTTTGAATATTTCACTGGAGTGGGTAGCCCCAGAATTTTGCAGCACATGGGTGCGTATAAATCATCTTGAAAGATGCTAATTCCAGGAAGGTAACATTAGTACAATGCATGGCATGGTCCAGGAGGGGGTAAAAAGCCCAAACCAAATAAGAAACACCCCATAAGAATGGATGTCTGGAGATCCTGGGTAGGGTGTGTTCAATCCTTCACTTAAGGACCTTACTCTTGACAATGTGAAGGGCAGCTGGGATTTCTGGGTGGAAAAAGCTCAGACCCAATGAATCTCCCACGGCATAGTTCCTGCCCCAGCGTCCCTAAGTTGAAGAGGGAACACATGAAGAGGCAATGTGGGGTTCTGTATCAAAGGACCTGGGTTACCATCTCATCTTTGTAATTAACTTGGTGCAATCCTGGGCAAGTCACTTAATTCTTTTAGGCCTCAGCTATTAAACAAGAGTTATTCAAGGAGATATCTAACTCTGAAGCCTTGGAAAGGAAGGGTCCCTTTCCTTTAAAGAGCTGTTTGATTTGTAATTAGCAGAGGGTCCTTTGGGGTGTCTTTCTCGTTTGGGACCTCTGAAATGGTCTATTCAGTTGAAAGTCAAGACTGCAGAGGGGCTGCATTCTGTTACTCTGACATCGTTGAAGTACCTTTGCCATGGACTTTGGCATTGGAGTTGGGGAGAAAGGGAGGCCTTTCTTCCCATGGTGGCCAAGAACGTGGACTTGAAATGACCAGCCTGTCTGTACTGGGTCCCTTTAAATTCAGCCTTGGGCCTGAGGCCCCAGTGTAGTTGCTACTCACAATGTGAAGTATTCTAACCACTTCAGACTGCTATTTTACACCTGTCACTCTAATGTCACAAGTGCCAGGAGACTGTGCCAGGGCCAGAGTAACACCCCAAATCTGTTTTAGGCAGCTCTGTAATTTCCCTTTCACGGCACCTTTGTAATTCTCCTGTGCTATCAACTGCTCCTGGTTCCTCAGAAGCCTTCTTGGGCTGGGAGTGGTTTACGTAGTCCAGGGAAATGTGACTTTTCTCTGCTAAGCAAATCCATTGTGTTTTCCCATACTGAGAGATGGGATGGGAGGTAATCTCTGCTTCACACTACGGAAAGGGAATTTCCTTGGGTGACTCATCCAAATGGCTCTGTGCATGTTTGGCTTTGTTTAGAGATCTAGATTTAATTTCAGAAATGCCACAGGAGCCGAGATTTCTAATATCTTTGGGGGGCAATAAAGAAAGGATTTCACATGGCTTAAGAAGGGCCTAGTTAACTGTATCTGTTTCAATTCATCAGATACATGAAGAGTTATTTCATTTGCATTAAAAGCTGAAAAGTTTCTGAACTGAAAAAAAGCCTGGAAGGCACAGGAAGATATCTTCTGCCCGGGGCTTTACAATCTTAAACTGCAGTTTGGGGAGGACAATGAGCACCGGGATGGAGTCTTTCCTTTTATGGAGGGAAGAAGAATTGGGTTCCTATCTGGCAGAGCTTGCTCATTTAGAAGAGGAAGGCTCCCTCGGTTTAAATCCAATTTTCAATGTCTCTCTCCAGTGATGAAGGCTCTCCCTGTGTGCGTTTCACAATCAAACTGTTATAGCCTCCCTCCAGGACAGTTTTGAAATCCTTCCCTATTAAAATGGTCACAACTAGACAGCCCTGAGGCTCGGGTGGCATTGACTCTAGTTGGCTGTGTGCTGTCTGTGTTTAGTTAGGCGGAAGAACTTCCCGCACTGGGCAGGGCAGCCCCTGGATCATAAGTGCCCATTTCTTGTCCAGATAATATCCCACATGCCCAACCTCCCCCTCCCCAAATAACCACTTGCTCAGATAATTGGGTCATTTATAGATGTGCTGCCTTTTGTGTTGTGATGGTTTTTTTTTTTTCCTGAGTGGATTTTTCTCTCAAAGCATTGCTTTGAAGGGGCCTATATTTCAAAAGACTGACTATTATGTGAGCGTATTTGGCTTTTGTTCTAAACTGTCATTTGGGAGATCTGACCAATGAAATGGACATCCAGGGTTTGCAAAGAGTTGTGTTATTCATTGTCAAAAGGTCATTTACTAAAAAGGGAAATAATACCATTGTCCAGACTGTTAACAAAACTCAAAGGAAAAGGAACGGTTTGGGAGATGAGGGAGGGAGTTGAATTTGCATGTTTGTTTTGAAGAAACCAGGTATTTTAATGGGAACACAGCTCCTACCTCAAACCTCAAATTGCTGTCATCATGTTTCCAATGAGTAGTTGGAACAAGTGTGGGAATTTGTCTCTTCGATAAAAATTCACTGAATACCAACTAAAGTCAAGGCCCTTTCTCCTCCTCATTCACTTTCCATAGAAGCAACAGGAAATATTAATAGACAACTGAATTCCTCTTCATTAACTTATACACTCACAAAATGTATCGGATACTTTCAGGTTTTTACTTTCAGACTCAAACTCCCTATTTGCCAAACTGGATTGGCCCAGAGCTAGGCAGTAAGACACACAAGCACAGACCTGGGAAAATCAGGTTCCTAATGGACAGATTGAATATTAGGTTACTGAAGAACAACAAAGGACAGTGGAGTGTGTGGTGTGTGTGTGTGTGTGTGTGTGTGTGTGTGTGTGTGTGTGTGTGTAATGAGAGACAGAAAGAGACAGACAGGTAGGGCTGATGTAAAAAACTTCTCTGCATATATATATGTATATCACAATAATGGATTACAGAGGAAATGATTATCACAGTGGAAAGAGCATGAGATTCGGAACTACAGGAGGTAGGTTCAAATTCTAGCTGCCTCTTTCTGTCACTACCTGTCTGACCTTGGGTAAGTCACTTAATTTCTCTGGGCCTCATTCTCCACCTGTAAAATGGTAGAAATTGGCTGTAAGATTGCTTCTGGACTTAAAATCCTGTAACATTATGGAAAGACCTCGTCCAAACCTAGTGCTTATGTATGCATATGTGCATGGTCTGTGAACACATGTTTCTACATAAGTGTAAATGAACATGGGAAGCACTAACCTGAAAGATGAGCACTTTAAAGTGGTTTCTCTTCAGGAGCTGGGCATGATTGCTCTCCAGCCTCTTCACTTGGGCACACTGGCGTTCCATGCGCTCCTTGACCTCTCGGGTGTGTGCGCTGACTTTTCGGGATTTCTCCAAGAGTTTGCTGACTGTGTTGCTTGTGGAGGTCTGGTACTTGGACAGCTTAGTGAGGTCATTCTGGATGCCCTTGACGGAGCCCTCCAGGTTGATCTGCCGCTGCTCCATTTTGTGCTGGTTTTCCTGCACTGTGTCCAGCATATTCACCAGCTTGTCCAGAAGGGTAAGCACCGTGACAGCGTTCACCTGGGAGCTCTCCCGGATTGACTCATCTGTGGTCACACAGTTCAAGCTGGGACTTGGGGTGGACGATGGCACCAGGCTGGCATTGGATGCCTTTTCCTGGCGCAGCAGTGCGTCTGGGCCAGGGTTATCTCTAGCCTGGAACTTTTCAGCTTGCACAGCATCATCTCCCATGTTAGGAACAGTGAAATGCTTCTTCCCTGCAAACGAGAGCTCCTTGCTTAGCCGGGCAGCACTGCTCTGAGAGGTGGGTGCAAAGGAAGCGCCTGCTGGTTGAGCTGAGCTGAGCTGAGCTGCTCAGAGCACTACCCTTTCAGGACTGGCAGAGGTACAGGCAGGCAACAATTGGCTCAACTCTGATCATGGAAACTACATTCCAGCTGCTCTTAAAGCCCCTACTCCACCCAGTGGGAGGTGAAAGCTAGAGCACTCCAAAATCTACTCAGCTTTTCAGATACACACAAACACTTCCCATCCCCTTCCTCTTCTGCACAAGTGACTTTGCCTGCAGGATTAGCTTTGATTTCCTCCCCCCACCCCCCTTTTAATAAGCAGAATACCATATTTCAATTGTGACTTCATCTAAAGGCGGGGGGGGGGGAACATTTTGTCTTGGCCTGTTCCATGGGCTGCAATTGGCTGAAACCAATAAACTTTTCACTGGCTGCTATGCTACGGATGCAACACAGAGCTGATGTTTTTTTCCTGGATACAAATTATTGTAACAGAAAGTATTGTTTGTTTTAGCCCTAGAATGGACTAATGAGCTTTTGGAGGGATGTTTCCTACTGAGGTGGGGAAGAATTTCAGGCTACCTTGAAGTTCATTTGATTCAGGAATGTTTTCTTTGGGAGCGCCCCATCTCTTCCAGTGACAGAGGTAACCCTGTGAATGAGAAGACAAATAGTCCCATTCTTCTTCTTACAGCTGTGAAGGCAAGCCGAGTTGGAGAGAGATCAGACTTCAGTGATCTTAAAATCAATAAGGCTGCTGTTGTGGAAATTTGTCAGTTATTATTTTGTGAAAATAACAGTAGACTCTTAGATCATTGCTCCTTTGTATAGATTTATTCGGGGAAAAGACAGGCATATTTTAAAAAGGAGGAAAGAATAAAACGTAAGACACAGAGTCAGGAAGATGGGTTTGAATCTTGTTTTTGGAATTTACTAAGTGACTTGACTCTGGGCCAGCCACAAATCATTTACCTTCTCTCAGCCTCAGTTTGCTCATCTAAACAATGGGTTAATGATTCTTATCATATTGTGCACACAGGGTTTTGTGAGGGATTTTTATATTAATATATAAGTCATTTTACAAATCTTAAAGCTACATGTAAATGTTAATTGATGTTTTCTATTCAGAGAATCACAGAATTTCAGAGTGGGAAGGGATGTCAAAGACCATGAGTCTGATCCATACCTCAAATAAAATCCCCTCCCACTACAAAACCTCATAACACATATGCATCCAATCTTTGCTTGGAAATTTCCAGTGGTGGGGGGAGGCGAGGGAAGAGCCACTACCTTTCAAAATATTCTGTTGCACTGATTGAAGGCTGTAATTGGAAGTTTTTTCTTACTTCCAGCAGAAATTTGCCACTTTGCACCTTCTCCCCATTGCTTCAAGTTTTATCCTCTGGGGCCCAGCAGAACAAGTTTATTCTCTCTTCCATGTGAGTGACAACCTGTCATATACTTGAAGACAACTATCATGTTTCCCCCTAAGGCTTTTCTTCTCCAGGCTAAATATGCCCAATTCCTCCAACAAGTTTTCATGTGGCGTGAACTTCATATTGCTTGATCTTTGAGATTCTTTGTCATATTGGCTGCCCTCCTCCAGCTTATTAGTAATGTTTTTAAAAAAAAGTGGCACCCAGAAAGGAATATCATTCTCCAGATGTGGTACGACCAGGGCACAGGGCACAGTGGGCCTGTCTCCTTATCCTGCATGCTAAACTTCTAGCAATGTAGTCTGAGCTCCCATGAGCTTTCTTGGTTACCATACTGAACTGAACTTTCTAAGTGTGTAGTCCACCCAAACCCCTAGATAATTCCAACTCTGCCTTTCTGTCTTGTGTTAATGAAATCTCCACTCTTGCTCTTAGTGACATTTCTATAAGTGCCAAACACTGAAAATAACTTATGGGCACCATTATCGTGCCTAGAAACATAGCCATAAAGCATGTTTACTTAAAAAAAATTGTGAGATATCACATTATCTGAGATTCCTAGCTGCCTATCAAGTGAAAAGATACACATTCTGAAATAATAATGATAGCCAATAATTACATAGTGCTTTAATGTTGACAAAGCATTTCACATTTGATGTTCACAACAACTCTGTTAGACAGATCCTATTACGATCTGGGTAGCTAGGTGATACCATGGATAGAGTGCCAGGCCTGGACTCAGGAAGATAAGTCTTCCTGAATTCAAATCTGGTCTCAGACAGTTGTGTGACTCTGGATAAGTCACTTAACCTTGTTTGCCTCAGTTTCCTCATCTGTAAAATTGCTGGAGAAGGAAATGACCAACTATTTCAGTATCTTTGCCAAGAAAACCCCAAATGAAGTCACAGAGATTTGGATACAACTGATAAACAACTGAACAACAACAACAACAACAAAATAGGATCCTCATTTTATTTATAAGAGGAAACTGAGGCACCAAGAAGTTAGATGACTTCCTCAGGGTCACACAGCTTGCAAACATCTGAGTAAAAATTCAAATTCAGGTCTTCCTGACTCCAAGTCTAGCTCTCTAGCCATCATGTCACCTAGGAATTTTGTCACTCTTATTTCTTTCAAACCACTTTCACTGCTCTTAAATACTCTTGCTTGTGAATGTTTATGTTTGCTATTATATGTTATGCAATACAAATCTAGGAACATTATTTATATATCACTTTCCTCACCTGTGAAAAGAGGAGTTTAGACCAAATCAATATTTTTTAACCCAAATTAGACTTTCATCTGTCCCAGGAGTATTTGCAATCTAGTAGAGAACTCTTAAAGATTTGGAAGCCTTGAAGTCCCAAAGGAATTAATCTCAAATGAAAGTGCTAACACAGTAGCAGGCCAATGGGAGAGATTTTTTTTTTTTTGGTTGAGGTTTTAGTGTCTTTTCACACTCCTTCAAATCAGTCCACACAGGCAGTTACCTATTTGGCCTCCACATAAAGTCAGCTCTCGGGAAATCAAATGGATGGTTAGGATTGAAATGGGGGTGAAGTCATTGAAGTCCAATTTCCAGGCCCTTTCTCTAGATTAGTGTCTTATAAAATGTCACTGGTGAAAGAACTAAGAAAGGATAACTAGTCCCTGTTTCCCAGAAGTATCATAGTTACCCGGGTTTTTCCACTTCTCATATATGTCTCCCTTCCCCAGACCTCACATTCTGAGGAGAAAATATCAAATTCTATGAGCTTCAGTGTCCTCCTATATAAAGTGAGTGGATTGGACTAAATGAATTCTAAGATCCCTGCTAGCTCTGAATCTATGGTCTCCAATCTTTGATTCCTTCTTCATATATTTTCTCCTTGTAGTAGAAAAATGCACTTTTTCACTTTTAGAAGAACTTTTTTCCCCCTAAAGACTTGGAAATTCAATTCAATTCATTTCAATTCAATTCAATTCAACAATTATTTTAATTAAACATCTACTATGTGCTAGGCACTGGGCTGGATGGTGAGGATACAAAAATGAAAAGGAAACAGTCCTTTCCATTACTGGAAAGAGCCTTTTAAGATAAAGAGAAGAATTATTCTCTTTGAGGAAAGGACTTTTTTTTTTTTTTAAAGAAAAATCTTTAGGCACTTATTCATACCAAGAAGCTATTCCCTTGGCTAGGCTAACTAAGATGAACTTGACTTGATAATTAGGCAACCAAGTGGCACAGTGGGTCAAGAGCTGGACCTGGAGTCAGGAATACCTGAATTCAAATATGATCTTAGACATTTTCTAGCTGGGTGATTCTGGGCAAGTCACTTAGTTTCTATTTGCCTGTTTCCTAATCTGTAAAATGGATATGATAATATCCATATATGTATATGATAATATCTTGCCTCACAGAGTTATGAGAATAAAAGGAGATAATATTTGTCAAGTGCTTTGCAAAGCTTAAAACACTATATAAATGCTAGCTATTATTATTACAATTCTTTCTCCCTGTTTTATCTACTAAAAAGGGTAGGTGAGAAGTTTTATCTAAGAATGCTGTTATACTTAATTATTTAAGACAGAGTAACTGACTTTTTTATCCTAATCTTAAAGATCTCCAACAAGAAGATTCTATGGTTTCCTTCCCAATTCTTATGTCAATGTTAAAATTGTCATTATTAATAGCCCATATTTTATGTAACATTTTAAGGTTGGCAAAGAGTTTAATATAATTCATTTGGGCCTCACAAGGAACTTGTTCTGTAAGAACCATAGCTATTATTATCCCTACAAGGAAGCTGAAACACAGAGAATTTATGTGACTTGTCCATAGTCACACATCTATGTCAGAGATTCAATCCCAAGACTTTCTGCCTCCAAATTCATCACTCTGTACAGTTCGAGTATTAGGCAAACTTGATGTTTGCTTAGGAGTATTAGGAAAAAATGCCCTATTACTTAAACCCTCTTCTATATCTGGGCAGAGGTCCTTTTTGGCCAGGGCAGCCACATTTGACTTTCCTCACCCTCTAAAAGGCACCAAAATGTGCTTTATTCTCCTTCTGTATCACAATCTAGATTCTTTCCATATGAACTGTGGTCTAGCTCTAACATTCCATCAACAATCATTGGGTGCAGACTTCTTGGAAAGTTCTTGTTTGACTTGCCATCTCTTTTTTCTTCCTGGTCTCCAGTGCCTCAATGGGCAATTAATGGTTGTGACGCATTTCCTTTGTGAGGCCCTGATTTTCCTCTAGGACGTTTTATAGGCTGGTAGAGTGTGTAGTCTTTTAAACACTTGATATGGGGTGACTTTCCACTAGTTTACTATTTTGTGTTTCCTATGGACAACAAGATTTGTAGCTGTATTCTTTTCCCTTACTGAAGTTTCTGACGATGAATTCCAGCATCATAGCATCACTAATTTCTCCCTAATTTTCTCCAGAGCTCAGGGCATAGCTAGGCAATAGTACTTCTTTAATCTCTTAGCCAAGAGACCTGCTCATCTTCATGTAGAGTGTGGTGTATGTTTGAATTTGATATCTAATATAGCATCATAGTGATGTAATTTACTGCAAGAGATTATTCCATCCCATCTTTTTTATACCAGGACAAACTACCTCCAATAGTCTGGTAATTATGTATTTTCAAGTTTCCAGGGGAAAATTTCCATAACTACTTCAGGTAAGAAGTCTTTGTACAAAAATATCATGACAGACTTGGTAAAAACTCTAACCACATTTGATTTAGAGTTTTACTTATTACTCTTGTGTGTATACATTTCATCTCCTCTACTAGATTGCAAACTCCTTGAGGGCAGATACTGTATTA